ATGGTGAAAATTTTCGTATACAAACATCCTAGGCACCGAATTTTTTGCTGTTTTACCTCAAGAGACCCTTTTTTGGGATTTTTCTCCTGTTCCTAAAGTGATAGAAGGTTTTTATTATCAAAAGATATAACCCGGAAAACACACAAGAAAGTCTCTTGTACCCAGGGTGTTGACGTTTGAGCTTTTAATTGGTTAACTACCATTTCAGGAGCGTAGCGTCCATATAAGCACATACGCCCGTGCGTACAGCTGATGTTTTGGAAAATTTTTCTTTTATATTTTCTGAAAGCAGTTTTATCATTAAGGGATAACTGATGATTTTTTCTCATTATATTGGTGTCTTTGTGTTAGTATTTCCTTTATCCTTTTATTATTACACAAACGGACGGCAGGGAACATTATAGTAGGGTGAAAAACGAAAAAGTGTGCCCGTCCCTGCACCCTTACTGCATTTTCTTCCTATTTATTTGCTGAAAATGTCCTGCGGAAAACGCATAAAATGACCTTAAAGCACTGAGTATGCCCCCAGAGTCCTCTTTTCTGGCCGTGCGTACACCTTCCAAATCTCACGCTACGCTCCTGATCATTTTACAGCTGACACAGTGGACGAAAGGCTGAGGTTGACCTTATTTTGTTACAAACCTTCCTGCTTTCTGATGTCAATAATGTTAACATCAGTTCTTCCGGGTTTCTGTTTTTAATCTTAAGCTAGACGCCGGTTGCCTTTTGCTAACTAGTATTTTTTAGCTTCATCTCCGCAAGAAATAAAAAATGGGTTTGCATAAAAAAAGGCACTCCCGGCCTCGCCGTCATTGCAAGGGAAAGGTCAAAGCGTAATACTACTGTAAAATATTCTATTAATGATGCCGCTCTTGTTCCCTTTCAATTCATTGTTTTCTCCCCATTAACTGTTTCTGATATTTATGGTCTTCACCCGATACCATTAGTAAACAGTGAAAATAATAAGGGATATATTTATATTACAGAAATCGTTGTGAACTGTAGCTTTTGGGATGTTTGGAGTTTTGTTAGAGAAACTCCGGAGGAAGCTAAGTGATTTTTCTGGGATTTCGCACCTTTTATGGCTTAATCTACAGTTTCTAATAATTGCACGCGCGCCTTGTGCCCTCTGACGATAGGTTTTGCCCTTCCAAACGCAAATCGGGGAAAACAAGCGACAAACAAGGCTCGCTCCACTCGCCAAGAGGTCGACTTGTAGCAAGTCTAGCGTTGGGGCAATTCGAGCGACTTCGGCGTATGAATAACAAGGGGGAAACTAAGTCTGCAACTCGCTTGGCTAGCTTGACTGGAACTCGTCACTGTTCCATGGTACTGAGGATCTGCTACAACTGAAAACAAGAGAGCACTTAAACTTGGACTTCAACAGTTTAATCTTCAGCTCATGGACGTAAATCATAAATGTAAATCATACAAGCATGCAGACTAAATAAAAAAAAAGGGATAACAGTGCTCTATTTATACTAACCGATCAACTTATTACAACATCACAAAGCAAATGGAAAGAACGCTGAATAAAATCAGCCGAAAACTGAAAACAAACCTGGATAAATCGGCTTTAAAGTTCATATGCTAAACTAAACGACTCAAAATTTAATGTGAGTCAAGCAAATGAATTTCGGAAGCTTACAAAAATTCAGCACTCCGGCCACTTTTTTTGTCCCTAAGGTGGCCGTTGTAGAGAGCTTCAACTGTAATTATTCAGAAATTATCCTTTTAAAAGTGTACATTGAAGTATACTGTATATACCGTATTTATTCGAATAAGTGCCCAACCTCGAATAAGCGCCCACCCCCTCCTCCTCCCAATCAAACTCAAATAAGCGCTCACCCCCACCCCACCCACTTGAGTGAATAAATTTTAATAAGAGACTTTCCCGAGGACGGAGTTTTCCTCAGAGCATTTTACAGAAACCTTGCTTTGTTACTTCTTCGCGTTTTGTTATTAGCATTTATTGTTTTGTTGGAAAATAAACATACTTCACTTGCTGAAAATGGTGAAAATTTAATAAGCGCCCGCTCTCAAGGTCAAAAAAAATTAAATAAGCGCCCAGGGCGGTTAATCGAATAATTACGGTAATTTAAAAGAACTAAAATATCCCAATCCAAATTCAAAGTAAATTTTGGCTAAAACAACTTCAAAGGGAATATTTAAAAGCTACGGATATAAAATTCGACGCAAATAAACAAAATTGATGAGAAATTTCTCCTTACAACACTACGACATTTTGGACACTAAAAACCTTAGCAAGGAGGATCATATTGGCCGTTTAAGACGGTGTATTCTCCGGGGTTGACTTGTCTGATAGCCAATTTGACGACCTGCCAAAAATCGCTGAGCGTTTGGACTCTGAACATGTGATTCTCCGGCGGAGAGGAGGCAACCTTCACCATCTCGTCTATGCGATAAATGTAACTTCCAACAGCAACAACGTAAATGTCTATGCCATTGTCTTTTAGGGCTTTAGCTTTACTTATAGCTGGGCCGCCAGAGTTCGATGGGCCATCGGTGACAAGAAGGACCATCTTTCTTGAAATAACACGACGTCCTTTTAGAGGTGAAGAAAAACTATTTGTTTATAAGTAGCAACAACATTTGGAAGCAACTGGGAATAAAAGAATATCTGAATGCTGTGCACGAGTATTTCCCCCTTCCCTTCTCCTTTACGTTTTTATACCTCCCACCCCACCCCACCCCACCTATCCTTTTTTTCCCCCAAATTTCAAGTCCTTTAAAATCAGAGATGGTAAATGCGAGGAGGAAACTGAGCGCTCAACCGCCAGAAATCGACTGACAGAAAACCATAGCCGGGTTTCAATACTCTAGGCTATTCACTCAAATTTTATGGTTATATAGCCCGTTCGATGTAATTTTTACTTGAATGAGCCTAAATTTGTTTAGTATACCACGGGGGATGATGATCTTGAGGGGACCTTAATTTTTGAACGGGCAATGAAAACAAAAAAACTTCTGAAGGACGGAACTGGGTGGGGGGTACCATTGTTTTTAATAGCTTCTTAAAAGATTAAGTTTTTGCACCAGTATTGCTAAGCTCAGTATGACACAACTGCAGGCAGAAGACCCATATAATATATTTCCAAGTTCAACCCGTTTACAAGTTAGTAGTGTAAAAGGGAAATAAAAAGTTAATGTCCTTCTGGGGTATGTAACCAACTTAATGTTCAACATCATCACCACCATCAAGACTGGCTTCCAATAATAACATTATGGATTATTTCATTCTGCTTAGATCAAACATTATTGTTGACATTATCGTCACTATCATTATTCGTAAAACCAAATCATTTTTTTAAATTTAATTTCATATTTTTTCTAAAACGTACATTTAGCATTTTAGCGCGCGAGCAGAGTCCCGTAAAATTTGGAAATCTGTCCATCCGAGAAATTTTGGTAATTCATTCCAAATCTAACTGATGTGGTCTGCTATCGGCAATTTCCTCAGTGAGCCACTGGCTTTTTTCCCTTAATATTCCAGAAATACTATAATCTGTAACTTCCTAGTTATCTTTTGTTTTCATTATTGCGTTAAATTATCTTAGCACTAGTGGTGGCTGCGCAGTTCTCCCTTTCGTGAATGGTTATTGAGAGTGTTTCTCCTAAAAATAAAGAAATTATCATCCCACCGTCGAACCCTGCGGGGCGAAGGAAGGGGGGCGGACTTAAGTTGATTTTTGCTATGTGCTGCTGGCCTCGGAGCCCCTACCATTACAGTTTATTTTGTGGCCAATTATAGACTCATCTTAGTCACTTCTGGGCAAATATGTAATTTTCGCGATCCCAACTTATGTATTACCTTTTATTGAATGAAGAACCCTTTACTTTTCACCTACAGTACAAGCATTCTGGTACGTTTGCCAACCGTAAATATGAACAACTGTCTCACCCCAAAAATCAGAGAATGCGCGACCCCATTCCAGTAGATCTATTGAAAATGCCACCCCCTTATAGTCAATCAAGTCGTGAAAATGCGCGCGATCCCATCCAGTGGCTCATGCCCATTATCCTCTTATAAGGAAGTAACACCCCGTGGGCTCGAACCCGGACCCTTCGTATCCTAATCTCTCTCCGTTACCACAACACTACCACACCGACCCGCCAAAATTCCGAAAAATTAAAGTACAATAAACTAGCAAACTTTCTTTCTTAACTGTTACATCAATAACAGGTGACTCTAGCCCTTTCCATAACTTTTAACGTAAATTCAACTTTGCCTCACGGGTCGTTCAAAAACGTATTATTTGCCGTATTGTAACTTAATCCAGGGAATATATGACGTCTATAATAACAAAAGGCTTGGTTACCAATGGTTGCATCGACCGTTTACGAAAGGTAGTAGGCGGCAGCTGCATTGCGGATAATCTACTTTCGTGTGTAAGGAAGGGAGGCGTGGGTGGAGGTAGTTCTTGTTGTTTTTCTTTTAGACAAGATGGGGAATGTCAATTTCAGTATTTTCTCCCCCCAAACCCCCCACCCACCCCTCACCCCCTGTAGTATTCACAATGAATGTAGCCTCATGGTAAATTAAATAGCTCAGATAACTGGAGCCGAGCTTCTGTTGCTCTCTAAATGACCATCAGCATCCAACTGTCACTTTTCGACTCATCTCTGTAAGAATTAGCTCTTTATATCTCAACCGTTTACTAAAGGGGTATCCAAAAGTAATAAAAGCCCTTTTATGAATCTTGATGATCAGGACCAATTATTTTTCGTACCGTCAGGTAAATCCTCATATCCCGTAAATCACGGATCGTTTCTTTACTCGGTTCAGGTCACTAGTTAAGAACGGATACATCCATGATACCTTCTTCGCCATACTATCAAGATCTATCTTAGTTGTTTAAAAAGGAATGATTTGTATTGACTAGAGTTGCATTTTGATTCTTTCCTACTAATAAGACAATTCTAAAATATATACCTGACGCACAGTCCTCGAGCAGTCTTTTTGCCTTCTCAAGTCCATCCTATGTGTTGGTAGCCCCACCTTCATAACGAATCTGCATTATGTCATTCGCCGCCGTAGAGTATGGCAAAAACGTGAAGTCAACTACGGCGTTAGTGGAATAAGAAACTGCAGCGTACTTGGTATCTACGTTCGGGGTGTTCTCTGCCAATTTCATCATGTGTTTAAGAGCTTTCTTTCCTTTTTTAAATTCACAGCTACCAATCGACCCGGAACCATCCAGAACAACCACAATATCTTCAAAAGAAATTCGTCCATTGCGGCGCCCATGTGAAAGTTTCCCAGGGATGCTCAAAAAGTTAGTCAGGAGCTTAGTTGCAGTTTTGTTAGCGGGAGGAACCGTTTGAAACCCTGCGAATGGAATTTTAAAATCATAATGATTTTTTTATGCCTTACTTGATAGGAAGTGATAAGTCAGTTACACTTGGCTAAGCCTTCATTTCAGTATTTACACCTTAGCCGCCCTTTTTGCAATGAATTTCGAAAGCAAAAGTACTTTTAACCCTCGGACGAAAATGCAATTTCATACCCCCATCTCGGTATAAGGGCCGGGGAGGTTAATAGACCCCCCCCCCCCCCCCCCCCCTCCTACTTTTTTGTTTTGGTTTGTTGTAAGTTTTTTTTTTTTTTTAATGATTTTTTTTTTTTCTCTACATTAAGTTATATAAAGAGAAAGAGAGGAGACAGGGCCTACAAGCAAACAACACAAGAACAACTTGCATCGCTTTCGTCAACACAAAATTTTTTTTTTTTTTTAAAAGTCGGCGCACCCCCAGATTTCCCCCCCTTCCCCCACCGCCCCCTTTCCCAGTCTCATTTTTTTAACCCCCGGCAAAAAATGAAATTTCATCCCCCCCCCCCGGTAAAAGGGCGGGGGGGGTTAAAAAACCCCCCCCCCCCCCCCAGAATTTTTGATATGTTGCAGTGTTTCGAAACGATTTTTCCTTTAGAGGAAAGTCTTTGATCTTCTCAACAAGATGAGGTATATTTTACGGGTGATGGCGCTGCTGGAGGCCAGTGACGTCACCAATAATGATCGCCATCTTGGATTTTACCAGGAAAAGAAATCAGGTTAAAATCGAAATAAATGGTAACTATTTTTGTCGATATGTAAAATAGCACATAAAGAATTAAGCACTTTGTATCATTAAAAAATGATTTGACCACCTGCTACTAATGACGTCATATCTCGTAACCACAGAAACTGACCATCACTTAACTTGTCTCAAAATTCCCGCGAGGGATAAACGGGCTGCTATTGAAAACGTCAGGTGTTGATGTCTTATTGTCTACGGAAAAAATTGAAAAACCTCCAAAGGTTGACAGCAAATGCCTGAAAGCGATTTGGTATATTAACCTTAAGATATGAACGAAAATCGAGCTACATGTACATAACATAAGCTTACTCGTCGACGAGAGTTCTTTAAATGCAATGAAATAGCTTGACCAAATGAAAACAGGGCGCGCTGGCGCAGGCTTTTTTTTTTTGTCTTCTTTTCTTTGTCTTTTTTTTTTCCTTTTCGTTCGGTGGCTACGCGGCTATACGTAGAATACCCTGCCACTTCGTAGCTATTGCCCCTATAACCCTTGGGGCTACATAGCACGTAGTCTTGTCCACGGTCATGCTCTATCATTTTCGCATTTTTTGGAGGGAGGTGGTTGCATTATGAAAGTTGATCAGGGACACCCAACGTCAATTTTTGGAAAATATCTGTTCGGAAGACAATTTGAGATCTAGAATTTTCGGAACATTGTTGTAAAATTTCTTGCTTGCATGCCTCTCCTAGGATTTTCGAACATCTAAAAAATGGTATAATTCAGTGCCCATTTTTAACGGATTTTTGCCCTAAAAAGGTCACCTAGAATTTTCGGGAGCCTTTTTTCTGGCTGAAATTTTCGAAAAGGTAAGGTTTTTTTAGGGGATAAAAATATCCCTATATCTACCGTTTAAGTACTAAAATACGATTAACAATGCTATTTTAAGTGGTTTTGAACTTAATATTTTCGTTGCGTGCCCCTGGTTGATGCCAATTTTTTTTGTTGCTTATTTATAATTGATAGTTGCTGAAATTACACAGCCCCCCATTGAAACCCATTTTTCTTATTGTTACTGTAGGTTATGATGTAGCATTACACAACATCTACTCGCCGCACTTAGATTACAATTTGTAACATATAGTAGTCTTGTCTATATGTAGCTTATTAAAAAGTTATCAGGTTTCCGTCATTGAAATTTTAGGAACATTCGTAAAAACATTTCCATACTGAGACTGTCCAGAAAATAAGAACGGTCCAGACTTAAGTCGAAAAGTGGGCGTTCGTGTAAATTAGGATGTAACCGAGTATCGCTTGGTTGTTGATCAACAGCTTATGACAAAATGATCTCTGTCTATATCTAGCCTGTCCCCGATGCCCCTGGCTAAACACAGAAAAAGAAAAAATACAGTTTTCTAAGTTTAATAATTAACTTTCAAATGAAAGTTGATCGGTAGAGCGTCGAATGCATTCACACGAACGATATGAAAATAGCTGGCGTCAATAAAGGTTTCTACTGAGAGTCACCGAGCACGTCAACTGGTACGTCGCTAATCGAGTACACAACTCCCAAAATTTGACTCCCCATATCTACAATGAACTTAAAAGAAAAACTTACTCTGGTAGTAGGGATCGTCAGGATTTGGTGGTAAAGTGCCCACTACGGTTAGTCGTACGGATGCCAAACATTTCCCGCTGAGGAAAATAAGCAGGCACACCATTGCAGCAATTTGAAGGATAAATCTTGACATTTTTCAACCGGACTGCGATCTGCCAACGTTTACTTTATGAACACGCCAAAGAAAGCTGCTGTGCTTTTATAGAGAAAGCAACTTCCGTGGTGGTGTTTCTTTGCCTCAGTACTCGCAGCTGAAACGTGCTTCAGTTCGCAGGGTAACAGTTAGGGAACTGAAGAATATAGCCATGTTGTCCTTGCAGGGTACCTCTCAGTGGTTATTATGCGTGCTTTCAGTGCTCTGATCTTACAGTATACAGTGCAGCTCACAGTTCCTGAGCCTTCTGGTTTGGGTTTATAATCACACCAATAATCACGAAAAATGAGATAAATGCTAATAATAACTACCTATATGTAGAATAAGACGAAAGCACAAAACCCAGTGAAAATGAATTGAATGAAAATAAGCGTAAAAACAATCACTGATGGGTAAGAGGCTGTGGAGCTCAAGAGTACAAAGGCATGGCTGAGAGCTTGGATACAACTAAGGTAGTAAAAGGATACTCTCCGAAGGTTAGCATATTTCCACAATTTAGCTCAAGTTGCAACATTGAAGCCCATTTTTAAGTTTTTGTCCAACGAACGATCATTCTGTCAAACGCAAAATAATATTAAAGAAAGCACGTTGCCGCGAGCTACTAATTTTTTGGAATAGATAAGCCATTTATTACCTTTGATTGCTAGTGGCATATCTCTTCTTATTACATAGACACGAGTGTTTTACTGGAAAATATATCACTCGTAAAAATCATAAAAACTACATCCGGGACCCGAGTGGTTTATTTTCCATAATCTCACACGTGAGTTTATCGATGACGTAATTTCGGTAATTTCCCTTCGAAATTTGTAGGCGTCTTGCGTCTTTTGAGTTTTACTTACATATTTATCAAAGCTTTTCTTATATTTTGTCATTGCAAAGCCCTATTTAGCTCAGTGTAGTTTCTCAAGATTATTGTAACCAATGTCTCATCTTGCTGTACTGTAAATTTGAGCCGTCACATTTACCTTTTGGCAATAAAAATCTATTATCTTATCGATGTCGTTTTGTCTATATAATAAAAAGGACATTACACGGCGGCTTGAAGATATGAATTTTATTTTCTCGTGGCAAAAACAATATTTTGCTCACTCGCTGCGCTCGTTCGTAAAATATTGTTTTGCCACTCGAAAATAAAATTCATATCTTCGCGCCACCGTGTAATATCCTCTATTTATCTAATTCCTGGTTGTTCACGGCTTCGCGCGGCGAACCCGAAGGTGCGGGCATATCCATTAATCGTGGGAAAGTCGTTTTCTTTCAAACGGGTACAGAGCCCAGTTACATTATGTACACCTATTTTGTTGTACAAAAAGAAAATTAACCCCCAGACTGAAATCAATACACGGCGGGCATTTCTAGATACTATTGTTTTTGCTTTGTTATTTTTACAAAAGTACATGATACTGCTTTATTACAAATAACAGCGGTCATCATCAACAAGTCGGATACAGGATCTTTACTGATCCAAGTCAACACTGTCACAAGTTTCGGATCTCCCGTCATTTTTCGCCTTATTCTGAGTATTCTATAGACATCGGATTTGAAAGGTTAGCCCAACTTTGTCTGAAACTTGCATTCCTTTTCTATTGTATTCCTTTTGTATTCTTTTTGTATTTCCTTTGCGTGGCGAACTATGATCTTAGAGATTGTTATTAGCTTCCTCAGTCAAACAGGAACATCTGAATTTTTGGCAACGTTGCAATCATTCGTCACTCAAGGTTATAAACTGAATGCCTCGTGACAATGTGTTAATAGTTTTAATCTCTTACAACAAAAAGTAAAGTGGTAGACTAAATAGTATTCAGATTTTTGTTTTTGTTTTTGTTCCTTTTGTTTTTTAACGAAAACAATGTTTAATGCAGACATGAGTAAAAATGAAATTGAGTGGTAAACTTTTCCACCAGTTATTTCTGACGTATAGAACTGAAGCGGTACTGGAAATCCACACAATCATCATGTGAAACAAAGCGAAGCAGAAAAAACAGCACATAGCAAAACAGGAACACTAACTTTAATATCAGTTTCAGTCGAGGTTCTTAATTTTCTTTAAGCAATTCCTGTTATTCCTCTGAGCGTGCAAACATAACAGGATGCGTAGGTGATGTGGACCGGATGAACTGAATCGGTTTGTTCTTGCACCAGCCTTTTTCTTGTTGGCGAAAAGAACATAGTTCTCTCAGGGGACTTCTTTTTCTTACTCTTTGATTCTTTGTTTGGTTATTCATTTATTTATTTTGTCTTTAATTCTTTGTTATGTCATCTTTTTCTTTTTTCTCAGTCTATCTGTAGGTTCTTTGTAGCTTATGATGTACTTCTGGTAGTTAGAAGATTTCATAAAGTATCCGCATTAGCTGCACAGAAAAACGTTTTACGGAGAAATAAGGATCTATTCTATTACAAAATTTCGAAAGCGTCTGTTCAGTCCGTTTGTTATTTTTTACATTAAATCTGATAATGTATATTTAGACATCCACGTCCCTTTTGTTCAAACATTAGGGAGCGTTTTCCAACGGATAAGCCACTATACAGCAGATAAGTATATATTAGGGAAAACAATTGCGTGATCCAACGCTATCCACTGGATAAATGTCTATCCATTATCCACCTTTTGAACATTCAGGAATCAGGGCCCAGGAGGACATTAGCTAACGCAGCCTGAATGATATACTCTTTTAATAATTTGCTAATTTGCATTGCAAGTACAACAGCGTACTATATTTTGCTTTTATTTCAGCTCAATCACCAAAATCGAAATTTTAGATGTTATAACGAAAGAAGCTCCGGAATAATTTACACTTCCCTGTTATCAACTTCCCGAATTCATGGCACGTTTCCTTCAGCTCTTTTAACCCCTTCTCCTTTTTTGTAACCAAGAGCCATATAATGGTCATGGTTCCTGCTGTAACTTTGGAATATGGCATTATTGTAGTAATCGAATCTTAAAGAAAGTGGTGGTACTTGCTATAAGTACTAGTAAGTATAATGACGTCATCGAGCAAAAAGTCCATTGTCCCTGTGTCACTGATCTGTAAGTGTACAAAAAGGGCCGTGACCGGGTTACCTTTCCAACCTGCCCTCCTCCCCTCTTATCCCTATTGAAAACGAAAGTTTAACTTTGCTAAATCTATATTAATGCCAGTATGTGCCACTGAAATTTTAAAAGTTTGAGCAATGATCATGAGCTGAGTGGAATCTGAGTAGAATCGACAGTGACCAACACGAAAGCTTCGGCTACTTTGGTCACTGTGCACATATCAACAAACCTGTATATTATATTTACTTTTCATCATTTGTTAACCTACTGATTCTGGAAGCCATCTTATACTGTATTCAACTTGAATAGCGCGAAATGAACTTGAACTTGAACTTGATTAGTGGTACGTAATTTTCGTGCGACAAAAGAGGGGTTTTTTTATTATTATTTTTATAGTAACTGCTGTCGCTAAGAAACAGGTGAAAACAGAAACCTTGATTACTTTATCACAAACTTGGTGAAGTATGGAAAGGAAATCTTGGGGTGCTGGAATTTCCATTTTTTCCCCCAAAAATACCTTGTCCTAATGTTAAGTTCACATAAATTATTATTCGGCGAGAGTTATCCGGGTTTTCCTGTTTTGCCCGACAGCCTTATCCTTATTAAACATATGCAATTATATGTAATTATATATTTTATTATTATTCAGAAGATTCGCCCTAAGGAAAAACAACTGCAGGTTTGCTTACGGCAAAACGTTTGTTTAAGTGAAACAATGCCACTTATAAGAAAGTTTGATATTCAGCTCTATAAAGTGAGTGCTAGCTGAGAAGGAAGTAAATGGCAGAACTGCTCTAGGACCTTCTAGAACTTGCTCCGCACGGAAACTGGCCTTATATATTCTTTATTCTTTATTATCGTAGAATATCCCAATTAGAACCTTAGAAACTGTTTAACGGCGTACGATGATTCGAAGCACAAAAAGGTTACTTTAGTCAGGTGAGTTTTAATGCGCTATTGGCAGTCAAAGGATTCTTGAAAGATTTCATTGCAGCAAGATTTGCCCCCAAGGGAAAACAACTCTTGCGAGCCGCAGTGTTGCTTGCGTCAAAAGGCTCAATTTGTTTAAATCAAGCCGCGACGCTCGAAAAATAACTGCAAACTAAAAAGGAAGTAAACAGCTTGACTACTTGCTGGGACAACCGTTTAAATCGGTAAGGATTAATAATTGAATTAAATTTTTCATTCATTATAGAATTTCGCATATTAAGAAACAGAGAACTACGAATGATATGATAGAAGGGTGCAGGGTTTATAGTCGGTTTGAGAAATGTTGTGCTACATCGACTGGGGTGGTGGAGTGTGACCACGGAAAACTTCAGTTTGCCAAATTTGTTAAATTCGCTGTCGACAAAGGATTTGTTTCAGCAGAAAGTTAGTAACAAGTTAGGGAGTTTAATCCGCCATCTTAAAAAGAAATTAAATCTCGATTGGGGGTTGTGGGTGGATGTGGCGACAGCTTTAATTCAGTCAATGGTAATTTGTGTTGTTTCTTCGCGATTTGCATGTATCCATGATTCATGGAAAGTCGTCGATCCTGAAGATTGAAACATTCAGCGATGCACATTAAGATTGTTTGATAAGTATGTGATAGAAACAAGCACAAATTTCCTATTTTTACCTCAGCTGGTTTGGGCCTCGTGAACGGACATTTAAAAGAGAAGTTTGAGGGCTACAAGAATGTAGAGCAAACTCATGCAAAGTCTTGACGTAAACAGGTTTACATAAGTCATCTTTCGTCCGCTGTTAAAGGGAATCCTGATTCAGGAATCAGGAAAAATTTTGCCTAAGGAATCCGGAATCGAACTCAAGGAATCCAACTGGAATCCAATGCCTGGTATCCGGGATCCAATGCGTGGAATTCAGAATGCAAGGCTGTCTTGGATCCCTTGCTTTTCTATGCACGGCTGGGCGTATGTCTTTCTGACCAAAGAGACATGAA